GGGGGGGGGGGGGGGGGGATCGGCAAGAATTTTAATTTGTCTCATCCACTCTCACTGTCCTTCCTCTTAAATTTGGTGCAGATTTTATTTCTTCCTTTAAATTGTAGATCTTTATAGGGAAATGGGTGGCATAAAAAATTAATAAACAAAATAACTAAAAATAAATATTTTTTCTTTGAATCATTTTTTCTTCATTGACTTTGCATTTTAAATCTTCTCAGCTAAATTAAGCTTAAAGTATAATTAGGGGCATTTGCCAATGCTTTCTCTCTTTGAGTTTTTCTGACTCAGTTCATCTGTTGTTATCCATTAGCTAAGTTTCATTTTGTAATATATGAACAGTGTTTTGTGTATTTATGCAAACAAACATATACAACTTTTCACAACATATGAAAACTAATACACTAAAATAAAAAATGAATAAATCAAGATAGAAATCAATAGAATAATGAGAGGGTTGGGGGGGAACAAAAACTGAAAAGAAGCCAAATTATTAGAATTTTGGACCAACCACATAAAGGACATCAGGTAAAGCAAAACTATTTTTGTAGATATTTTAATTTCTCAGAGATGTCTTGCTTATCTTCTCTGTTGCATCTCTGTGGAAGAGATATCAGACACTTTTATTAGCAGATAACTGGCGTTATGAATGTTCTGGAAAATACTTTTTTTAATTCCAGAGAATAATTTTTTCACCACCTTTCACAGCAATCATTGTCACCTAATTAACTTGACAGGAAGTAGGTTCAGAACCAACTTCATTAATGAATGAGAGATCATTTCAGCCAGATGTTTTGATAGTTAGCTTGATATATAAATACAACAGAGTGAAAAAGAAAATGCCAGAAGTGGAAGGATAAACTGTATGACTTCATGTCAGGCAAACAAGAAAAATTACCAATAGCAGAGATGAGATATAATATCTTTTTAAAACTAAACAATTAGGGGAAAAACAAAAATTGAAACTAAAACAGTTTTGTGTGATTTATAATACTTATCCACAGTGAACTTAAGCTGTGATAACCCATTTTGTTATGTACTAGCTTCTTTAAATGTTGTGTTTCTTTTGCTGCTTCCTTTTGTTAAAGTATAGAGATTTGTTTACAACTATTGCTTCCCACATTTATTCATTGCTTGGAGTTTTAGAGACTGACACTGAGTAGCTACAATTCCTACATATAGTATTTAGAATTAAAGCACCCAAAATGTAATTTAAACAAGAATAGTTCATAATCCACAACATCACCAGCATCGTGTCATCCTCATTTTACCTCCTGGGTCTACTTTTCTGGGAGCAAAATTCAGCCTTTCATAAGAAAAGGGAGAGTAGACATAAACAATCAAAAGACAGCAGCTTATCATATAAACAAGGATTCAACCCAGGTGGCCAGAAATCTAGGAAGAAACATTTCAGATACTTCAAAGAGACTCCACCTTAATGAAAGCACTATGAAGGAGGGTGGAAAATTTCTTTTGCAGTTTTTGACATTCTGTATATACCCCCAAACTAGCAATAAACAGAAATCTGTGTTTCCTTGATTTTGCCCAGCTGTGTGGAATTGTGTGATGTTTCCCTCACTCCCAACCCTCACAGATAGTCCAGAAAGAAGCAGAGATCAATAGTATTGAAGGTACTTGAGAGATCCAGTAGGACCATGACAAGACATCATTACAAGACATCAACAACAGGAACCGATGCAATCTCGTTCCCATATCAGAGGCTGAATCCTAACTGAAAAGTTTGCTATTGCTTCTTATTTCCCAAGTTTGGTTTTCCAGTCTCAACAAAGTATCTCTTTTCAACTGTTGGTCAAATTTGCCCTCATGGTCACCAACCTATATCATAATAATAATGGAACATGGACACTTTGCTGCTCTTACTCATCATGTAGGTTTGAAGCTGAGTTTATAAATATTTTCAGTCATATTTTCTCTGGTTGTATGCAATTGCCAATCTATTGCTTCATCTCCCAAAGTTTCTAAGTGGAGGATGGGGCCCCTAGATGGAAAATAGAGGAGGCTCATTATGAGCAATCTTGCTAAAAGGCACAGCCACCTCTATATTTCAGGATTCAATTAGGCCAACCAAGACCACAGGAAACTCCTCAAGCATCCTCTGGAAACCACATGGATTCATTAGATATCCAATCAGACCAATCAAATGGCTATATTCTCCCTGCAGAGGTCAACGGTGCAAGGAATGTCCATGTTGGAAGTTTATCAAAAGGCAGAAATTCATAATTAATGTGTCTATCAGTAACTGTTATCCATGTTAGCTAAATGAATTCAGTTATAACCTACATAGTGATTAGAGTATTTGAATCTAATGGACAAGCCTCCATGTAGATCCTCATTTAATTAGCCAACTCAGTATGTGGCTTTGGGCAAGTTACTGTTTTTTAGTCTAACCAAAGATGCATTCTGTTGTTTTGATGATAAAAACAAAAGGAGGGGGTATTAGAGTATATTACTGAATACCAGGTAATTAGAACAAATAGCAATGGGAAGCTATCACTTTCACATCATCTTTGTAAGCTAGCCAAGGTATTTCATTGGTCACTCTAGGAATGAGTAATCTCTCCAGAACTTTAATCAGAACCAGCACACTTAAAAAAAAGGGGAGATCAGTTTCTTTAGTGCTGATCAAGTTTACACACCATGAATTTGAAAGTGAATTCCAGCTTTAAAAATTAGAATGTGCTAAAAATATCACACTTCATACACATTTTGGAAGTGATGCCTCTTAGAGGGCAAACACATACCAGATACATTATACAGAATGACAAAGGTACTTTAAAGATATTGCATCATTTTTCAGTGCTAGAGGAGTCAGTTACATCCTAGCTATATTTATTGTTGGTCAGCTCCTTATTTAAATTTTAGATGGTTACCCCTTATGAGCAATCCAGTCAAAATCTTGGAGAAAATTGTTTCATGTTGCCCATTATGACCCAATGTATTGACATAGATTTATTAAAGATAGAGAGTAGACATGGATTAATACTTCCAACTTAAGTTAAAGATTACTTTCTGTATGGTCTCGCTTGTTGACAGTTAATGCTTGTTAACAGTTTGCTGTCTTCTTGAAAGTAGAGATCAAAGAGAAGATGCTTCAGATTTCTCCATTGTTGATTTGAGTTTTGGATTACATTCAAATAAATTTTCAACAGAAACTATTAGATTCCAGTGACCAGATAGAGCGTCACATTTGACCCACAAATATGATATGCAACCATACTTCCAACTTTTAAACTGTGCTTACGCTTCCTTGATTTAATTTCCTTCAAGGATATTGGAGGGAAGATTCAGGAACATCCCCAGAGCCTTAAAACTTACCCTTGTGTCTTATACCATTGAAAGTTTGACTTTATTGTACTTTTCATGTGGACACGCATAACTGCATATTCTTGGATCACCTGATGAGTAGTACATTAGATATCTTCTGGATAACCAAAACTCAAATAATACACTCTAGATTGCTTTGTTAATCTAGGCACCAATTTATTGTCAAGAAGAAAATAGCTGTGTTTATGCCTTATCTTAAAATAGCTCATAACGTATTTTAAATGTATTGCAAAATAATGAGTGCAGTTTAGTTGATCCTTGTATTTTGATCTATAACCATAATACCATAATGTAGTTTTAGCTATCTCTCAATTCTTCCCCTAAGCCAAGCATCTCAGTTAAAAAAATAAGGGTTCATCAACTGAAAGGTGGAAATGACAAAATTCTGGAGACAAATTTCTTTTAAGTTGAAATGTGTATCTTTTCCAATTAGCGTTTGCTGGTAAAATGTCTGTCTACAGAAGAAGTTTCTGAGCAGCTCCCTAAATCATACTTATCTCTGTTCTGATTCATAAATATTTTATATACGACATTGGGATATGTAGTTGGCCAAGAAGCCAAGTCCTGGAATCAAAATATTTATGTATTTATGTGCTAAAATAAAAGACAGAATCTACTTAGATTCTTATTTAAATGCTCTTTAAAAAAAACTTGTTAGGTTCCAGTTTTATCAAGCAAGGATTAATAACAATATAGGTCACAACTATATGGGTTTCTGATAAAAAATAGCACAAATGATCTCCGACTAATCAGTGGTGATTTCAGAAATGTCATTTACACTCCTGTTTAGAAAACTTTTTTTTAATCATGCTCATGTAGTTACATAAGATTGGTGTAAATGTTTGTGACGAAGGTTGATAACACAGTTTCCCAGTTGTGATTGCTGTCTTTTTTTGTAAACTGCTATCCAACACCGTGACACATAAGGCGTTCATCAGACCCTATTAGAATGCTAATTTTAACATTTACTAAAAACACAACCTCAGAATGTTAGTCAGAGAACTGAGTGTTCAGAGAAGCCATATTTTCTTCTGTACATTTTACAGACGGCCACCATAGCAGTGATCCATGGAACTCATCCAGTGGAATGAATCCTCCTGGATACGGAGGAATGTTGGGCAATTCATCTCATATTCCACAGTCCAGTAGCTATTGCAGTCTTCATCCTCATGACCGCTTGGTAAGATTACTAATCAGCACTATGTGTCAGTCTGTGTGTGCCACAAATGTAGAAGGCAAACTATTAAACAATTTAAACCACTTTCTCTCACACCCCCATTTTTATCTCTGTTGGAAGAGAAGACCCGTGGATTTCACTGCTTAAAAGAAAACTATTTGACAAAAGCAGAATTAAAAAATGAAGTCTGTTGTCTTTTCATGGACATCACGCACAGAGAGAGACACCTCTGTACATTTCATGGTTTAAAAATAAAACCTTTTTTCCCCACATGTGTGAGACTTTAAGTCCTAATTGCAAAATGAGGAGGAGGCCAAGCAGAGCTAACTTTCTACAGCAGAACCGTCTTGAGGATGCTTTTTTTTTTCCCTTTGAAGATGCTTCTTTGCGTGACAATCTTTAAAACAGCCTTCACTGACATAAATGTGAACAATTTTTGCAGTCTTACAATGGAGTTTTGTTCTTTGATCCACTATTCTTATGTTTTGCTGGGCTTCTGGTACAGGTCATGCTGTACCTTACGCCTGTGGGTCTCTCAGCTACATAGCGGAGATTTTAGGATGAAACAAGGGTACAACCCCCCAAAAGTCCCCCTGAGGGATGTCACTGAACTGCGTTTTTATATTCTACCTTTCCATCCAAGCTGGATGATCAAGGTTGTTTACAGGCAATAAGAGATCTCCTAAAAATAGTGGTTCATTGTACAATGGACCTTCTTTATAGGACACCATTCTTCCGAGGTACTGGCCTACACCCTGTTGCTTTTCTGAAAGGGCCTAAAAAGGGGTTTCATCAGCAGGTCTGAGGATCATGAATGGAGAGGGAGCCGATCTAGTGGCAGATATGATTGTGTTGTTGCTGCCAGGGAGGGTAGAATAGTTTTTTTAAATGGGTTTTATTATATGATGGATTTTTAAAATTTTTTGAGGCTGCCCAGTCACCTATATGTGAGTTATATAAATTTGATGAATGAATGAATGAGAAAATCAGCCAGCAACTCTGTAGAACCAACTGTTGTGCAGTTACTTGCTAACTGAAATGTTGTCTTTCCCTGCTATGTGCCACAGAGCTACCCATCACACTCCTCAGCAGACATCAATTCCAGTCTTCCTCCAATGTCCACTTTCCATCGCAGTGGCACAACCCATTATAGTGCTTCTTCCTGTACACCTCCGGCAAATGGAACAGAAAGTATAATGGGTGAGTTGAAGGATTCTTACTAAATTGAAGAAGGCAAGTCCTGTCAGTTTCTCCTCATCTGTTTTTTGGGAAAAGAGCTTGTGGAGCTGATCAGATATTATAGAAGAAAACTTTGCTTTTCATGTAGTTGCAGATTAAAAAGGATATTTGGTTGGCGCTCTTGCTATACTGATTAGAAACTCAAGTCAACAAGAGTGTAGGATTAGAGTTTGATCTGTGAATAATCCAGCCCCTTCTATTTGCCTGGTCTGATTTTGCTCTCCAAGAAATTAAACTTGTATTATTAAATTTCATTCTTGGCTGCTATCTCAAAGTTAACTTGCAATCTGGGAAAAAAACAGAAACTTGAACAGAAAATAATTGTTAACTGGTGATACCCTAAGATAAAATTGCAGACAAGCAAAAGGAAATTGCTCAGGTAGATATTAAAACAGAAGCACTTGGGTGTAGTGGGTAAGGCAGCAGGATAGAAATTGGGAGACCATGAGTTCTAGTCCTACGTTAGACATGAAACCAGCTGAATGACCTTGGGCCAGTCATGTTCTCTCAGCCCCAGGATGAAGGCAAAGGCAAATCACTTCCAAAAATCTTGCCTGGATAAATACATGGACTGGTCCAGGCTGTCATCAGGAGTCCACACAGATTCGAAGGCATTAAAAAAAAAACCTGGAAGATATTAACTTAAAGTGATGCTTCAATCTATGCAAAGTATTTTCTGTGTGTTTTCAAAGATTCAGAGCCTTTAAGCAGCCACTTACTAAGAAAGATTTAATGTAGCATATGCTAAAGATTAGTCCAGAAGAACCTCCTCATTCATGTATTAATCCCACTTTCTACTCTCACTTTAAATGACATTTTTGAATTGCAAGATACATAGCAGTATGTGGCTTTTTTAGTGGGAACATGATGTGCACCTTCCCTTGAAGCCTTGGTTTTACTGTGATTTTATTATAGGAACAGTCACATAATACTGCACTTAATTTTTTTACTAGTGTGTTAAGCTTCCAGTGCAGTGGGGTGCTAAACTGTCATATGGCACAAGAGGGACATGAATTTTATCCTGCTGTGTCAGTACATCTTATCTGAGGAAAATATCAAATTGGCTCAAGTTTTCTATTTCCTGAATATACTTATTGCTCCCATTCAAGTTAGAGACTGGTGTACAGGCTAGATGTTGCATTTATTAACCGAAATTAATCCTGTTTTTTTTGGGGGGGGGGCTTGGTATAGCTAGCTCTCGATTGCAAAACCGTTATTTTCCTGCCAGTGAAGACTGTGAAGCACGTATAGGACAATTTTTATGTAACCTTGGCATATACAAAAGATTTCATACAATTATAAAAAGGGCATTCAGAAACAAGTCCATTAATGCAGATGATTATTTAGACATTATGCCAGAAATATGGGGATTATAATTATTGTAATATCACCTTTATAATTTCACCCTTATTGAAATAATTGCATTTAACATTCTGGTATAGATTTTTTTGTACATTTAAAAGGATGGGATTAATTATTAGCTCCCTCATGCTATGGGTTTGATGATGTTACTTGGGTTGGACAGAACACAAGCCTTGAGGTCACACCATAAAGGTAACGTCTTTGAATTGAGCTCTGTTCCTGATGAGTTCATAGACAAATGCATGCAGTTTTCTTGACCCCACTCCATTGGCATTATGTGTGAATCACAATGGGATCACTCAAATAATGTTTGAATTATCTTATGCAAACCCATCTGTTACCTTTGCATATTACATGAAGCATTGTAGTGGAATGTAATCTGGAGACGCAAGAGGGAGGGGCTTTTTCCAAAGAGACATTGAGCTTGGAATATCTGGTGGGCAGGAAGAAAGCACGGTTGGGTTCTCTGTAGCAATTCACAGAATATATCTATAGTTAGGGCAGATATTGCTTTAGTTTGGCAAGATTCTGTTTGTAGGCAAGCAACAATAAAGGAACTATTCAGAAGTAACTCCATGTATTGTTCTTGGTTCTTGAGCTTGACAAGCAGGCTGTGAAATTTATTTATTTACTTATTAGATGATATGTCATCTTTCATACTGAAGCTCAAGGCAATATTCCCCCTCTTATTTTTCAACATAATATCAACTGTATAAAGTCAGATATTCCCAGTGAGAGATTATTTCAGATTTTCAGAATGACTTAGTTGGAGTAATTTTGATCCAAGTTTTTAAGCAGGCATGGAGATGGCTTTGAAGAACAAATTCAAAAACTGTTGTGCAAACCTCTACTTAGCCCAGATAGGCAGGAGGAGGTGAGGGGAAAAAACTCAAGATTGTCGTGTTTGGTTTCTCCTTTAGTATAAGAGGAGATCAAGAAAATCTCAGTCAGGATTTCAAGATTCTGTTATTATACCTTTTAATGATATAATTATAATAATTCTTGTGGCCTTTGCTTCCTGATGTTATCTGCCTCAAAGGACTGACATAAGACATCTGGGTTCCTCAGTATGATTAAAGATAGGATACTGTAGAGGCAATGAGTAAGTCTTTATTTTGAGGTGGACACAATATAGAATTGTGTCTCCCATCTCTATACATTTGGAGGCAATTAAATAAGGCCCTGTGTTCTTTAGCTAAAAGAGAATGGCAAAATAAAAATCTAGGATGCCTTGCAGTTCCCTTTTTTTAAAATGCCAGATAAATACTGTACAAAGGCCCACTGCTCTGTATCTCACTCACCACAGAAAGAAGACTATATTGAAATAGCTTGCAACAAAAACATTTTGGAACATGAAATATGAGAGGTATGTTTGAGATGTATGAAATCCACCATAATTAATAACAGTAATGCTAATTATGATTAGTATAAATCACCATTAAAATGCAGCTGAATTATGCATATGGGTGCAGTGTATGGAAAACAGATTTATTTTTTGTCTTCATATGTGTTTTTTTGTTTTGGGGTTTATTTTTCAGCAAGCAGAGGAAGCGGAGCCACAGGAAGTTCACAGACAGGCGATGCGCTGGGAAAAGCACTTGCATCTGTAAGAAAGTATTTGCTTTGGATGATTGGAATAGCATGAACTTGGGTTGGAATCAGTATACACAAATATACACAAATCTATCATGGCCAGTTAAAATAATTTAGAATAAAAGCATGTTAAGGTTGTATATACAGCTCTAGAAAATCTGGATAATTCAAGATGAGTTCTTAATTGCAAGCTATGCTTTATAGTTTTCCATTCACTTAAAAATCATAAGAAACTTGTGTTACGTGATTCAGTAGCCAGGTCTGTTCTGTAGTGCTTCCAAGTACAGCTTTGTCTCATTTGAAGCCTAAACCATATTTAAATCAATGTTATTTACGGGTAATCCTCATGTTACAATTGTAACGGAGTCTGCCCATTATGGTCATAATAGTAGTAAAATGGTCATTTAGCAAACACCACAGTCATTAAATGAACTCATTGTTTACTATGGCACGGTTTTGTGAAAATGTTAAACTTTCTGATTCAGATGCCTGTTTTACATCATAGAAACAAGTTGTAAAGTTCTTTGAGACAAATCCATGACCATAATTAATTTGGATAGATAGAATAATTTGAATAGCTCCTTGAAATTTGAATTGCTGTATATTTATCTTAGAGACTGGGTGGGCAGTGTTCAAATGTTATCCCTATCTCAATGTCAAATTACTTCAACTGTGTCTTTCAAATCTCCCGTTAGTAAAGGGGAGTAAGCCTCACTGAGATGGGATAGGATTTTGAATTTTGAATTTTCCTTTTTAGCCTTAGAGGACTTTGGGCAGCTCCCTAATTTGAGGAACCTGCTTTTCTATGCATAGTTCCTTGGAGACACCCATGCAGGCAGGGACCAAGCTTATGAATCCTTTTCACAGAATTACCACTTCCTGGTGGGGTGGTGAATCTATAATCAGAAACTGTGCCGTCATTCCCAGTTCACATCTTTCAGTAATTTGGATGATATACTATCTGCTCAGGCACTGCATATGGAAAAGCAGATTCCCAGAAGTCAGGGTAAAAGATCAAAGGGCCTCTCAATCTGTTTTGCTGCAGTGATTGATATTTAAAAGTCAGCCTTGACTTCCAGTGGCCACTCATTCTATTTATTTCCCATCTCCAATTTGGGTAAGAATCCATTAAGTATATATACAGTGCATTTCTACAAATTAAAACTTAAGCTGACTTTTAAACGAACTCTCACTGTAATGTATTTTCTGGGCAGAGGGGGGTTCCAGTGAGTTCTCAAGAGAATTGATGTTTTCCATGTCCAGCTAAGACAAAAATTAGCACAACTCCCATATAATGGATACAGTACAAAATCTACTTTAACTGGTGCCTGGAGGCATTGGTTAACTGAGAGATGATCAAGGGGTTAATTAATTTAATTGCCTTTGCAGAACCCTAAGGAAAAGTTCACGGGCTCAGCTTAAATAGTGGCCAATATGAGTTGCCAGCATGGTCTGTTTTGATAATTTGACAAGATAAGAGTCTAATGATGTTTATGATTTCTAATCAGGTCCCAAATGGTCACAGAAGTTTTATCTATTCAGGGTATTAAGCAGATGAACCCTTGAGAATCTTAACTATAAATTCTAATATGCCTACTCAGCCATATATGCAGTTGTACATATCAGTCAGGATTATTTTTCCATCTTCTATTTTTTAGAGTTTGCTGTAATAAGTATTTTCCACTATGCTATATTTCAATATTTTTTTCTCCAAAACTTCATTCCTGTAATAATTTAAGGTTTTTGGTTTAGATTGAAGTAATTTTCTGATTTTTCTTCCATTTATATGTACAGTATACACCAAATACATTTTTAGTACTGTAGAATATACAGACCCTACTAAGATGTTTATGGAGATTCTCAGTCATCCAGATCATGGTTGTCCCAAATATGTTTTTTTCAAAAGGCAATTGGACTTCATTTTTCCTTGAAGACGTTTCGCTTCTCATCCAAGAAGTGGATCTTGAGTGAGTCTTCCTTGAAAGAATTTCATTTTCCTTGAAGACAAAATGTCTTCAAGGAAAAACAAAGTCCAGTTGCCTTTTGGAAAAAGCATCTTTGGGACAACCTACTAAGATAATTAAATATAAGGGATAAAAAAAAAAAGTCCCGTTAGCTGTCCTTCATGACAACCGACTTATTTCTTCGTAATGTTTTTTTTTTATCATAGTGGTTTCATATTCTTCATAGCATCCTTTTTGTCTTATGAGTCATAAGTATATTTATAATGAAGAGTGCCAATCCTCTGTCTGTAGCCATTCCAAGTGACTTTAGATTAATTCTGCATCCTCTTTTAAAGATTTACTCTCCAGATCATACCAACAACAGCTTTTCATCAAATCCTTCAACTCCGGTTGGTTCACCCCCTTCTCTCTCAGGTATTGTGGTTAAAATTATTTTACCAAACAGTTAATTTATGAAATAGCAAGAAAATCTTTAAAATGAGGCTTTTAAGCATGATCAGAAAGTTCAGTTGTCTCAGAAACAATTTCAGACTGCCACCTACTTAACATTTCGGGAAGACTTGGGGCCTACTAGTAAAACACCAGTATTGCATGAAGGTAGTTAAAGATCTCTGGGAAAGTCTTAGAAAGTCTTCTGTCCTCCTGTACAAGTGTGCAGGCTGGTTCCAGATATGTTCAGGTTCCAGGTATGTTCAGGTATGCTTTATAACTCAGGGTTAAGCTGAATATTAAACAGCCCTGATGCTTGAAGACTCAACTTGGTTTCTGAACATCCCTATGTGTAGACCATTTGTTTTGTTTTCTGAATCCATGCATTAATCACATGGACATTACACAATAGATTAATCAACCCATGCAGAAAAGAATTCAAGAATTATTGCAAATGAACAACAATAATAGGGAACCATTACTATTACTGGACTTAGGTTCTCCCAAAGGTTTAAGGAAATAGAATATAAAATACATTGGATTGGATCTAAAATTAGTCAATACATTTGTCAGTTTGTAATGACACATAAATTTTAATTGGTTTACTCTGAATATATCTAAGCCTAAATCGATTCCTCTATCTAAGCTCTTCCTTTTGAGGAAATATGAATTGCTAAAAGGAAAGTGTGACTATTTCTAATGTACGCTCTCCTCTTCCATTATTAATTTATTCCTGTATTATAGTTCAACCTGTTCCAAGGGTGATTTCATGGCAAAAACAAAACATTCCTACATGGTACTGGAGAATAAACACTAAGGTTAAAGAGGTTGAATATTTAATTCATGAGTAAGCAAGACTTTAGAGGTTTAGTCATAACATCATGTACGCTACATTTTCCAATCTAGCAAACTCACAGCCTTACTTCCTGTGGTTCAGACAGGCAGGAAGAGAGGAGTTACTATCAGGTTTTATCTTATCGGGAAAAATAATACCAATTGAAGTTCAAGAAGATCTGTCTTGTGTCTGGAAAGCATTTCAATTTCATGCAGCAAAGTTTATATGGCTGAGGGACTGATTGTGTGTATATACTTGTGTGTGTAAATGAATAGAGAATAAATAAATAAATAAATAAATAAATAAATAGAGAAGAAAAGAAAAATATCATCTAAATTAAATAGTTATTCCATAAACATATTTAAGGTCAACAAGAATATCTTGACAGCAAAGGTCAATCTGAATCATTCTGCCCATTTCCAAAATGATATTATTTTTGTTACTATCACAGAGTGATAAACTATCATCTAAGATCTAAAAGGACCTCTGGGTAATTAATCCCTTAATTTAGATTTGAAAGTTAGTATGTTACTGTCATGTATATTAATTTCGCCCAACCAGGAATTATGATGTATTACAGCAACTGTGTGTGGCTAGTGACTGGCTAGGGATGTAGTCAGCTACAGGACACCAAGTTAAAGAAGACTGATGTATGTCCCAATGATTCTTCTTGATGAAAAAAGACTGTGCCATAAATGGGCTAGGAAAAAGTTTTCTGTCTTCATAGTTATTCAGAATTAGTGAATTATTGTACCATACCCAGAAATATTTTTCCAATATCTAAATTATTTTACTTCACAAACACATTCTGCAAGGAGTTTGCAAAACTCCACCTGATCCTAGAGTACTCAGTGAGATTTTCTTAGAAAACTAATATATTATACTATTGACACTTGTATTTTATTCTTTTTTAAAAGCAATAAATATGATGATAGTAGTTTGAAAAGGCTTAAATAAAACAGAAGAGGAAACAATCTCTATCAGTTACAAGAATTTAGAGTTTACATTTTAGGAACCCTTACAGTCAAATTGCTTCAGCTAATACATTGAATGCAAACATTTAAGCAAAAACAGTGCTCTGCATACAGACCAATAGATCAACCAACAAACCTGCCATAGATTTTTCTCTGATAATAATAAATGAAAATTATTGATAATGTCTTCTGCTATGGTTAGACTAGCAGCATCTTGCTACAATTCTTTTATATTTTTTAAAATATATGAATTTCTACTTGCTTTTTGATGCACAACTGCAAAATAGATGAAATCTTATATGCTGGCATGCAATTTGGAGACATGATGTGGCTTCTGGGTGTGGCTGCATAATAAATATTTGTTTTCAAAGTTCTGCACAAGAGCTGTGGTTTAATATGACTGTTGGGAAATCGCATGTACATATCTATGGTATTATTCAATGTCTTTGAAAAAGCATTTTGTTTGCATAGTTCTAGTGGTAACTCCCATTTTACTATTAGCAGGAACAGCTGTTTGGTCTAGAAATGGAGGGCAAGCATCATCATCTCCCAATTATGAAGGTCCCTTACATTCTTTGGTACGTTTTTCAATGGCAAACTATTAATTACGGTACCTGTTAATATTGTATTGCTGTCTACTTTTTCCTATCCATTTTCCTAATGGAGCACAACACTAATTAGTGCACTCTTTTCCTGATCATTTCTAAATAGGAGATCCACCCATAAAGCACAACAGATTTTTATATACTCTTTTTCATAAATTATATCAGCAATGATTACCTAGTAAAATACCACACATGGAAATATGGCATGCTGTCTAAGATTAACTGTGTAAAGTTGGAATCTATATATATATAAAAAAACAAGAAGATAAAACTTAGCTTCTTTAAAAAGCAAAATCAAAGAGTGGCCTAATCAGGGAATGTAAATATTGTATTTTGAAAAAAAGGGTTCCTTTTCCATATGAAAATGGAAGTATGAACAGATGATCTTGCTTAGCCAGGAAGATGACCAAGCCTTAACTGCATATGGAAAAAAGATAGTATAATAAGCTTTTCTTAATTCTTATTTCATCAGTTTCAATGCATTACATATATGAGTAATGTAACATTCTCAATATCTTTTAGAACCATAGGGGAGATGATGTATGGAGAGGATGTATGGAGAGGATCATAGCTTATTATTAGTTCATCGAACTATATCAGACTACGTAAACTATATTCTGCTACCAAGTGATATTTCCAAAACATCAGTATAAGAGCCAATACTAATGGTAATATTTCTGGCAAGAGATAACCTTGTATTGGTGTTCTTCAGTATACATGCCCATCAAAATTGTCAAGACTGCCTTTTAGAGCCTGTGGGCTTAATTAAAAATTCAAGTTCAGTTTGAACATTGGGTTCCAGAATGAAGTCATGGTAAGAAGAGAGAACACCTACTTCCCTAGGTTAATGATAGTAGCTTAATATTGGCATCTTCCCCATAAGTCTTGTAGTACAAATATAAACAATCAAAGCTTGCCAAGATGAAATGAATAATGCCTTCAATGAAAGCCACTATACAAAGAGTCGCTCAGCTAGTGTCATGAGAAAAGATGCCTTGGATTTGACTTCCTCAAAGAATACATTTCCACAAGTGGCCCCAATGCTATGTGAGAAAATATTTCTGAAGTTAAGGGAAAGTCAGAAGCTTCAGTTGTACAATGGTCCTAATATAGAAGCCACATTTGGAATAAGAAAGGAACATCACCATTTCCATTAAGTGAAAATTAAGTAGTGTTTTTCCACTGAGCATTGCATAATATATTAAATAAGTATGTTGACACTAGTCTTTTTTCCCATGTGGTTTCAGTAAAAATGATGTAGCCACTTCAGAAACATTTTTGGGAATTGTATAATGAAGAATTTTGGCAGAATATAACCAGACACATTGCTGTACCTTATATCATCTTAAGTCTCGCCCTTAAAAAAAATAACAATGCCCACCATAATTCTTTGCACTTTAAATAATCAAAAAACTATTGGTGATTTCAAGGGATTGTTTCTTTAAAAAAAACCTATGAGGGTTTGTATCACAGACAAGGATAGATAACCAGTGTTTCTCAACCTTAGGAACTTTAAGATGGATGGACTTCAATTCCCAGAATTCCCTAGCCAGCAATGTATTAATTTAACTTATTTAAATTGCTCTGATGTTCTAAAACCTGTGCTGTAAATGAATTGTACCCTAAAATACTGTATTTTTCTTATTCTTCCTTTTGAATATTGGAATATATGTCTGAATGCAGGCTAGTTTTGATCATAGAATTCCATTTAATAATTTTCACAGCTCCAGTGAAAGCATTGAGAAGTAAATAAGCCTTGGATAAGAAGTTAGCATGCAGAAATAATTTAAAAGGTCATGGCAATTTGATATTTCTGACGCAAAATATTTCAGGATCCTGGGGCAACAAATGTGCTATAGATGTTATGTTCATGAGGAGTCAGTGAGCCTGTTTTGCCCATGAAAATGAAAACAGAACATTCATAGTATCCCAGCAGGCTACTTTAGGATGTCAGTTGTTTCATTTACAGTGTTTTGGTGAACAAGCAAAAAATAATCAAAACACTCTTAATAAAGTTGAAACAGATTCAGAAGCAACCCATCGACAAGCAACTGTCTTCTGCTTCAACTGCCTGACACAGAGCAGTAGCAATGCATTTCTGTGAGTTTTGCTGAAACAGGAGACAGCCTGTTAAATTTTCTGATGCTCTCTTATTTTTTTCATGAACTATCAGCAAAGCCGAATAGAAGACCGCTTGGAAAGACTGGACGATGCTATTCATGTTCTCCGGAACCATGCAGTGGGGCCTTCAACTGCCATGCCTGGTAGTCATAGTGACCTCCATAGCTTAATAGGCCCTTCTCATAATGGAGCTATGGGAGGTCTTGGATCAGGATATGGGACAGGCCTTCTTTCAGCCAATAGACATTCACTAATGGTAAGCCATGAAGATTCAACACTACAGATTTCTTTTTAAAAAATAATGTTAAATAATGCACGGTTGGGATTTTTAAACTTTTTTTTTTTTAGCTAAGCTTTTAAATCCAGTACAATTTAGAGTTGCAGAAATGAAAGGCAGTGTAGTACTTATGACAAAGTAACTACCTTTATTATTTCTATTGCATAAGCAATAATTACTCTTTCATAGTATATGTTAAAATGCATCTCTTTGATTTTTCTTGTATAGGTTTTTTTTTTTTTTTAGTTACGGGATTTATGCTTAGAATATGTTCCGCCCATGTTTTTAAAGAAGCTGCTTAGCAAGAAGCTGCTAATCTGTTGCATTAGTCCTTCCTAAAATCTATTTCTGAAATATTTTTAGCTGAAATATATTTGGCACAAATACAAGATTGGGGAAAATGCAAACGAATATCCTTAGGTATGTTTCTAGAATTAACCTATCAGTCAAAGTCTGCAAATGGGGGGAAGTATGGCATTGGATAGGAGCTTAGTCTCCCTATCCATGCAAGAAGAGATGGGGGGAAAGTAGGAATCAGCCTTCCCAGGAAGCCTAGACAGGAAGCACCAGAAGAGGAGCTAAGTCTCATCTATTATAAGGCTGCATTTACAGAACCTTGTAAGTCTAAAAGTAGAAATCTCCCACCCTCTCTTTTACAGCCTGAGAAAATAGGATTTTTTTTATGCAACCTCAGGCTAGCCCTTCTTTTATCTGATTGTTCCCTAGGCAGCATCTCTTCCTCCCTCCTCCCAAAGTCATTCCACACACCATTACAATATGTCATTGACTAGGAGCGTGAGAGGGAGACTTCCTATCTTGTTGACTGCAGAAGTGTTATAGTGATTAAGGTGTTGGATTAGAACTTCTGAAATTCAGAGTCAAGTCTGTACCCAGCCACGGAAGCTCAGTGGGTGACTTTGGGCTCATTGCTCTTTCTTCGCCTAATCTACCCCAAGGGCGGTGGGGAAACGTTGGAGGAGATGAAGTTATGTTTGCTGCTGTGAGTTCCTGGGGAGCAACTGCCTTTTAACACATACATTTTCTGCACTTTGGAAACATGAATCTCAACCACACATATACCCCCGTGAACACTGGTTCTCTGCACCAAACTGAAACAGATTTTGTTCCTAATGTCTAAATTACAGATATTCTAGTCTGCAGGACTGAAATCTTGGTCTTCCTTACACTTGGTGATGATCCCATTGCTTTTCATTCATGTTTTGTTCTTTTTTTTCTCAAGCAATTTCACTGATCACATTGCCATGTATCCAAAGTATGCCTGAGCATTTAAACCTGACTCCAGTTATATAGGAGCTACTCACAGAAAGCAGTTTCCATGTGGTTTGGGATAATATTTATAAACATTCCGATGTATTAGTACAGAACAGAATGCTTAAGAAACCTAAATTCTCCCTTATCCATTCTTGAGAACTTCACTTAATCTCCTAATGACATCTTAATTTCTTTATTTAGAATAATTGGATTGAGATGGCAGGGTACAAAACTGACATGTGCATCTATTGTTTGAGTTGAAATAGCAGGCTATATAATATTAATTATTTCTTTTACCTTTTCACTTTTTGAACTAGCATACTATATTTGAATTCAGCTAACATGCATTATTGATAACACTTTTAAGAGTCAGACAGGATAGATAATATTAAAAAATAGATATAATCCGTGTATCTGTAGTATACGTATGAATCAGGTTCCTCTTCAACATTGCTACTTAGAGTTTGGGTGATGGAAATAACCTGTCTAAATTATTTGGATGATAAATACTTGGCAAATTTCAGATGAAAACTTATTCTGATAATTCTAATTTGATTGAGAAATTCCATGGTATACATGTTTTTATATGTCTAAAGAAAGTGAATAATAACAAAATTCTCATAGTGATCTAGTTTTCTGACATGATCTTCATAAGATCTCTCTAGAGTGGGATGACATTATTGTTGTTACTAATTATTGGGGATCTGAAGATAACGGATTTTGGCTTATTTAAAAACAATCCAAAGAGTTTATTACTGAGCAGTTACTAGAACTAGGTTAAAACTAAGGCTTGTAAGCACAATGTAAATAATAAGGAAGGATATATTAAGATCCATATTTTGTTTTAAGTAACCTCTGTTTGGATACTTAATGAAATAAAAGGAAAGGTACTTTATGCAATAAAATAAATGTTTTTTTATTTTGTGGTCTATTGGTTATGTTGACTAAGAATTCTGGAAATTTAAAGATCTAACACATTTAGAAATAAGAAATGAGGGGAGGTTTCTGTATAAGTGTCACTCTAATATTTTTCTCAACAAAATGCTGAATATAATCATTTGATTAATTTATTTATGATACTGATATGAAACCAACAATTAGATATCTATCAAAAACTATCGTGCTTGAATGGTCATTCTCAACAACCCAGATAGGTTTGCTATGAATATCTGCTGGTGCAATTTTGTGTATTTACAGGAGATTTTTCTCTATCGTATCAAATTAATATCCCCCCTCCCCCAATATCATTGACCCTGATTGTGGTTGGTTGAAAAAAGTGACTTATGACCGTTTTTCATACTTACAATTGTTGCAGTATCTCTATGATCAAAATTTGGATGCTATGCAGTATCTCTATGCAGTATCTCTATGATCAAAATTTGGATGCTTGGCAATTGGCATGTATTTATGACAGTTGCGGTATCCCAGGGTCATGTGATCATTGTTTGTGACCTTCTGACAAGCAAAGTCAATGGGAAAGCCGGATTCACTTAACCAACTGTCTTACTAACTTAAAAGCAGTGATTCACTTAACAGTTGTGGTCAGGTCATAAAATGAGGCAAAAACTCACTTAACAATTGCCTTGCTTAGCAATGGAAACTTTGGGCTTAATTGTGGTTGTACATCAAGGACTACCTATATAACCATTGCACAGGTTCCCCATTGGCTCCCAAAGTTGCTGCAAGAACCACATACATAAGACTTTCCTAAAAACTAACAGGTGAAGGGGGACATGATGTTCCAGAGGATGGGAGCCACCATAGAAAAGCCACATAGTCTGGATCTTGTCCGATGGAACTCATTAGCAGATGGACCCAGAATATACCTCTTATGCTGGACCTGATGAGATAGATAGATGTGATCAGGTAGATTTAGCATGAAGATTAAAACAGAATTGACACGTTTCATCATATCTAAATTGAAAGGAATTTATCTAGGCAGAATTCAACTGGACAAGTTGTAAAAATAATTACTGGGTATTTATAATTTGGAACTGTAGAAACAAAAACTGTTTTATTTGGTAGAAGAAAAACAAAAATGGCAAGTAACAAGGTCTGTAGGATCACTAAGTGCTCTATTAAGGAAATAATAATCTATAAAGACAAATGGTAGAATCCCCAAAAAACCCAGGATGAATTATATTGATATGCTTCGTAATGGCACCTGTCTGAAATTGTATTTAATGATTCACAATCATTACAGGTTTCTAGAATATATGTTTTTAACCTAAATTTGGCCACTTTTAGTCCATTTTAGCTATTTTTGCATATTAAAGATTCTGTCTTGCTGATCATTCCAGTCAATTATCTGATTCATGGGGCATTTTGTGGGTAGCTTGTTGGATTCATTTCCCTTTTTTGTTTTTCTGAGATAAATAACAAATCTCTTATAAGCAGCATTGTAGAAATCCACGGCTCTGAGAGAATATAAAACATGTAATAGAGCAGTTTGCATTCTTATTGTTATCTAAATCTCTCTTTAGTTACAGACAGTTTGCACCTGTTCAGTTTCACTGGATATGTAGGCTAGGGAATTCTGAACAAGTATGATCAAAAATAAGAAAGAAGGCTGAAGACCTTGGAAAAGGGACCCATTTGATGTAACGTTCTGGCCAGAAATTGTTATCCTGATAAATAGCATTGGAATACCCTCTATGCCAGTGGTGGCGAACCTATGGCACGCGTGCCAGAGGCGGCACTCAGAGCCCTCTCTGTGGGCACGTGTGCTGTTGCCCCAGCAGAGTTCGCCAGAGTAGCGAGCACATGGCATTGGAAGTGACAGGGCAGGAAGTGAGCGAGCAAGCAGTGTTGGCCCCCTGGGGATGCCCCAGAGATGGCGAGGGACTGGCCCCAGCCACGCTCACCCAGTCTGCCATGACCACTGCAGCCACGCCCACCCAGTGGGCCACACACACACCCCGAGGGCACCACAATGCTGATGCAGCAGCCTTGGCACTTTGTGATAAATAAGTGGGTTTTGGGTTGCAGTTTGGGCACTCGGTCTCTAAAAGTTCGCCACCACTGCCCTATGCATTTAGTCAGCTAAGACAGAAATGGCGGGCAAGTGCACATGTGCATCCCCACTTGCGTGAGCAGTGGGTACATGTGCATGCTCCATTTGTGTGAGCGGCGGATGCACGTGCCCGCCACTTGCGCAAATGGAGCTGCGCACACGTGCCCATGCGAAACAATCCCCTCTCCTCCCCTCGCTGGAAGGTTGGGGAACTCTTGAGTTAAGGGAAAGGCTGGAAACATCAGGAAACTATACTTGGAAACAACTGGATGAGTAAATAATGCACTTATCCTTCTGTACTTACTATTCCAACCTGAGCTTAGTTTTCATGGTCCAAATGCGCCACATGTTGTCCAGGTGTAAGAGTTCCAAGTCAGGTTTGGTGATGTATTCCGTCTCCTAAATCATATTAGGGTGAAAAACATGGAATATGGGGTACTTATTAACTTCGTTACATAGCTTTATTATTAAAAATGAGAAGAAAGCACCATTTCCATTAAGGAACTCTGCAGAGATCACCTCTGAAAATTAACCACTACCCCACCCCACCAGCAAGCCATTATTAAAAGATAAAAGTGGAACGTTGATGCTTATGAACAACACAAAAGCATTCTGAATATTGATTGCTTCTAGTTCACCATTCAGAAAGATATCCATTTTATCTCTCCCTGCCAAGAATCGGACCATGCATTGA